TCAGCAAACCAGACAATCTATATCTGCACAGAAAATGGAACAACAAAAATATTGTATACCCACAAGCATTGTGAAATTAAACATATTAGAAACTTACGCTTTCTCTTTTCTTTCTTTTCCATTTAACCAGACTGGGCCACAGCAATGCGTAGCCGGGTACAGCTATTTTTCATAATAAAATAGAAATTCAGTTTTGAGAAAGATTGTGTTTTTTATGTATTGTTGCATTCTAATTTCTTTTCTGGTTTTATCATCTAAGTATGTCTTCATATTTCAATAAAGCCTCTATAGTTTAGAATAGATTAATTGTTGGTATGCCTAAGCAACTATGTTCTATGTAAAGGAAATTGAGATTTTACCTACAAATCAGCAGAGTAACTCTCCTAAAATTGTACAGAACAGGACTATAATAGGTGTTGAGGACAAATCAGATTCTCCTACTCTAGGAGAAAAAGAATCCCAAATTTTGTTTCTCCTAATTTATTCGTCTGGGAAAGACAATTGGGACAGATATTTTGAAATGTCAACTGCTCCACTCTAAGCCTTCCTCTTCTGGTTTAGTCTGACTCATGATTCCCAGTGCAGAATATAAATATGCAAACAACACAAAATAACAGAAACACAAGAAAGCACCCCTTTTCAAGCTCCACACTTGATAAACTCAAGGAACAAGAACCAAGCAAATTTCAGCAATTAAAAATAACAGGGTGCCGGGGTAGGTGTCAAACTCAAGGACCGCGGGGCTAATCTGGCCTGCAGGGTGCTTCAATCTGGCCCAGGGGGCCTCTGGAAGGCCACATGCCGCTCCCAATGCCCCACTTTTCCCTGCAGAGTGCTGCAGGAGACCATCCAGACAGAAAACTGGGTGCCCTATTTTGGCCAGCATAGTGCTGCAGGTGTCTGTCACATCCCACCCACCTCTGGCCGGCCCGGGGAGAACTACAATGTTGATCCAGCCCTTGAACAAATCCAGTTTGACACCCCTGATGTAGTTCATAATTGGTGATTCCTGTGAAATAAATTTTGAAATAACACATTTTTCATGCATTTTTCAACACCTGCTTATTTTTAATGACCATATTTAGACTATGAAGTTTTGTTTTCCACAAGTATAATTTATATTGTACATTCAGATATAATTTTTAGAAAGTAGCCTTTTTATGAATGGAAAAATAGAAAAACAAGCATATGTAAACAATCTAAAATTATATACACACACATATAAGGTATAAGATACATTTAATAAAGCTAGACAAAGCTCTTGTGGGTCTTTTTCAAGCCAAGTGGAATTTAGTCAAATTGGTTATTGAAAAGGTAATCCTATCACTTCAGTCAATTAGTTGCAGTGGTTTCAATCATGCTTCTATTATCATTTGAGTTGGACAATTTGGTGGAAAATGTTTAGAGTGAAACAAGTGCATGGAACTCTTACAGATGAAAGGAATATGCTCTTAAAATGTCTGCCATCAATTCCAGCCACTATTCCAACAATGCTGACATCATTGCATGCCACAGATCTGAAGCCACTATGTGAATGAAATGTTTGTGTTAGTACTTGGTTAAATAACAAGTCACATTGAAACAATTCAATATATAAAATACAAGAAATCAAACTATGGGACCAGGTTTTACATGGAATAGAATATTTCATTGCAGGCTGAGATATACACCAAAGCCTACATCAGTTGGCTCACTGCATGATATACTACAGTGGATTCTGTAATTTGCAGTTGGAAAGTTTATATTTGAGTAATATATTTCAGTGTGGCCTCCAGATATAAATTCTTGTGATTATGAAAAAAAATGTTAAAAATATAGAGAGATTACTTGACATATCAAGGCTGTTCTTAACTTGTTAGTACTTGGATAATTTGGTGAATAGGTATCACTATAAAGAAAAAAAAAGCTCTGCTATACCCTGTTTGATATACAATAAGAAATTAAACATTTTTAATCTGCCTTTTAAAGAGAACACCATGGTTAATTATCAGCAAATCAGATTAAAATATTCTCTAAATAATCAGCCTGAAAGGGTCAGGTGAGGTTTGAAAGCTGAATAAGAAAAGGAAACTTTCAACCTGCATGCAACAACTTGGGGAGAGATGATGGAATTTCTCTGCAGAATACACAAAAGACACTGCTACATCTTAAATAGACAAGTTCAGGCAGGAGAAACTCAACTAGTTATCCGGGAGTCCTGAACAAGACATTGCTAGTGGGTGCTCAATACTATAATCACATTTGAAAAATACTAAATGAAATGTTAACACTATGTCACTAGGCCGTTAAAATGCCAACAAACCATAAAACATTTTTAAAAAGATGAGATTTACCTTGACCATCTGTGAGATCCTCCCAATAAATGATAGCAACTTGTCAACAAAGAGGATTTGTTATTTTTCCAGTAGTATACACGGAGTGAAAGATCCATGGAAGATGTTACGACATGAAAAGGATCCTGAAATAGGATGGAATGGCAAAAAGTTGTTTAGTTAAATATACCTAATACCTATGCAGAGAAGAAAGTAACAGCTACTCAGGGTTTTTTGTTTGAAAAATAATAGACTAAAATGTTTGTAAATAAGGAAGAGTCACCATACCACCCAAATAGATGTAATAATTTTATGATGATCCTTGAAAGCCATCAATACAGTCCCGCTCAGAGAATATACTGTTAGTTCTGGTCCAGCTGCTATAAGAAGGGTTTGCTTGCCAAATCCTTTCATATTTGTCATCTGCTGTTGGGCTGGTAATGTGAAGCTTGCAACCTGTTTAGCTTTTGCATAAAAAGAACAAAACTCATTCTTGTGTCACATAAATGATTGAAAATTGTATTCTATTTTACCCAATAGTTCTTTGTCAACACTGATTAGGAATTCTGAGAATTGCAATCCTGATACTACCAAAGATTATCAAAGATGGGAAGACAGTTTCATTTGATGGCATTATTTTATTACTAATTTTATTTATATCCTGCCTTTATTACTTTTATAAATAACTCAAGGCAGTGAATGTATCCAACAGTACTCCTCCCCACGACAAAAAATCTGTGAAGTGAATTGGGCGGAGAGGGACAGGCCCAAAGTCACTGAGTCTTGGAATAGCATGAGCAATGGGACTTCCTCATCTTGATGGCTAACACCCACCAGAGCGGTGGGGCATAGGGCTGCATGGGCAGTCCATACTAACCGGCTGGGTCTGTATCTTAGTCATTTAGATAACCATTAGCGAGCAAATCTAAGCTTATCTTAACTGAAAGCAATAAAAATAGAAAGAAAAAGAAAAGGATTAATCAAGACAAGAAAGTCTGATAAAGAATAAATACATTTTATTTATTTTATTTAATAAATTTGTTTGCTGCCCATCTCACTGCAAAGTAACTGGGCAGTTTACAACAAATTGCAAGGCATCAGAATCTATATTATCAATCATTTTGGTAATTCAACCAGCCAATTATTTGCCATAGTTCTTTTACCTTTTTCTCCATTCCAACTATCATATGCTCTACTAACTATTGATTTAGAATCTATATTAGCAATCATCTAGGCAATTCAACCAACCAAAATCAGCTGTAGTTCTTTTACCTTTTTCTCCAACTAGCTTATGTTCTAGATTACCAACTATTTAATTTTTTGTACACATTCCAGGAGACTTTGTGGTAGCAAGCAGAGTATAAGTATTTTAAATAACAAAGATTGAATACTCAAAAGAAATTAAAGTCTCTAGATTTGCTACAGAGCATCAAATAGAGTAAGTCATTTTAGAAGATTATGCAATCTAAGAAAGCATTATTCCCCTAAAAGCTGTCAGAAAGGATTTTCCCAAAAGAATATTGTTCAGGGATTAGAAATGGCACCTGAATGTTTGGCATAAATGGTTTAAAAGAATGATTGCCATTTCATAATGTTTTCCAGATTATTATCAAATAGAAGTTAAAGATAATGTAAAATTGTTGATTGAACAATATACATTATCTGTCGAGGTCAAGCAAATATGTATAGAAAAGCTTTGGATATATTGTCAGTAAAAAGCTACTATTTGGATATCTTTAGTCTTAATAATGTTACTGCCTGACAATAGATTGTATTTTTTTTTCCATTATGGTCCAGCACATTTTAAATATCCAATGGCACATCTAAAATTACACAACCATTTGATGATGCCTACCCGTTACAGTCGTTTTGTATTTAGACTTCTCAATTGCTAGATCAAAGCTATCAATGTGAAACATCTCATTTTTGTGCAAAATGGCAATTCTCGCTGACTCAGTTGGTAACCAGCACGTTACTTGGCAATGATTTGTAATAGGTAAAGGACTAGATAGTATCAAATCATCATCTTCTGGCTGAGTTGCATAATATGTGTTAAACACCTGACATGCAAAAAGAAAATAACACCAATAAGTTGGAATCCAAAAATTTAATTTACACTTTTTAGAAATATCAGTATAACTTTGAAACTTGTGTGAAAAATGCAAGTTAATATATTAAAATTTCTATCTCAACTAAGGACCTTGATTTATATCAGTACGTACTGTCTACGCATGAGAAAAAGAACTGGGGTGTCTCCAATCAGCTCTAGCCAGCATGACCAGTGGGAATTATGATTCAAATACTTGGGAAAGCACCTGATTACCAGCATCTGATTTATATTGCTTGGCAGCAACTTTCCAAGAAATCCTTTCTTAACTTCTAAAATGCTGGAGTTGAGCCTCTGATCTCCATGTTTTGGTTTCTATTACATGACCTCTCTTATTTGAATTGCAAAGCTCTATTCTGCATCATACATGATTTTTGAAACGTGTTCCAAAATGCAAATCTTACCAATAAACTTAGAAGTACAGTTCTTTGAACCTAGGCTAGTTCTTTGAACCTAGGCTATTATCTACAGGTGAAACTGACATTCAAGATCTGCTGTAAGCAGATTACAAAGTCATTAGAAAAATCCAAACACAATAATTCTCCTTAGTTTTCTTTAGCAACTTGTTAAAGAAAGACAAAGAACAATAATAGAGGAAATACAAATGATTATTTTATTTACTCATTTAATAACTCAGAGCCAAAACTCTGGATGCAATTCAATGTAACACAAAACAGTAAAACCATAATTTTGCCACTGTAACTGTCTTCAGTTCTTATTAGCTGAGATTAATTTTGTGACTGCATTTGACAAATATTTTCCCAGAAAGAACAGCTGGGTAGAAGCAGTAGCGATCAGATTCAGAATGTTGATAATGTGAAGGAAACCTAGAATTTAAATATTACGGTCGTTCCAAAATCTACTGCTTCAAGACTGCTTCATGTCGGAAAGATCATAGAATCAAAAGAACATAACAGTTGCAAATGACTTCATAAGTCATCAAGCCCAACCCAATGCAGAAATCCATTATGTAGTAGCCCTGATAAATGGGCATTTATCTTTTGTATACACACCTCCTGTGAAGAAATGGCTGCTTCCTCCCTCCCACGTGAGTTGAATCTCTTTAACTATTAAGGCATTTTCCTTTTTGACCACTTGAATTCTATTTTCTTGCAATTCTTAATGCTCTTGCTTTTTGCCTAGCTTTCTGAAACAATTATGAACGATTTTGTCCTGCAATGCCACTAGGTCTCAACAGACACATTTAATAGTAATAGAAACCATACCTTTGGTGAAAAAGCACTATTGCTAGGACAAACAAGTATCCATTGTCCATCTGGTGAACACAAAGACAACTGTGTACTACAGTTCTGAAACATTTTTTTGTACAAAATTTGGCTTAGATCAGTTGCTGCCAAGGTATGAAGTGAGCCTTCTTCAGTACCCACCTAAACCAAAGAAGGGAAAAAGCATGTAAAATACCCAGAGTTTCTGAGATGCTAATTACTTCATAAAAATTCAAAATAACAGAATGGGGTGAGGAAAAGCTATGTTATAGCTAATTTCTAGCAAGTCAGCATCTGCAATAATTGCTAAGCTAATTCCATCAACTCTATAAAGCCTTGAATGCCAAACACTGAACTACAAATAATGAATTTCTCATAGCTGACCAACAGAGTAAAATTTGAGCTTCCTTGCTAAAGTTTCTTTCCACACCAAGAAGAATCCGGCATCTCCAAAACTTCCTGCATTGAGAAAGACACAATCCTATTCCTCCAAGCAACTATGAAGAACACGGGACAATCACTTTTGCCATTTAGGGAGAGGGGGGAAACCCAGGTTTTAAGAAGGGAGATGTGGGAGTTACAAACAATGGGAAACTTACCATGCTTCATGAGGAAATGCTGCTAAACTGTGAAGTAAGAAAAAGGTTCAACTTCCCAAACTCCATGGATGCCCCAAGGTGTAACGGGCACACTAAGGGTCAGTCTGTTTCAGACTGACACAGCTGCCACAGGTAAAGAGGCTACTTTAAAATGTCCTATTTTGTAAGTATTTGGCAATCAGAAGAAAGCTTCCTTGAGGATCAACTCATTTACTGTGCTACTTACCATTAAGAATGGATTATTCTTTATTGTGTAGGCTACCATACAGCATGATGTGGATGACACTGAAAAAGTTGAAAGTTCTTCCCCTGTAGTCCCATGCCAGAGTTTGATTGTCCCCTGAGTGTCTGCTGTAGCTGCCAGGTTAAATGCAGGAAATGTGATAATATTTACTAGTGGAAATTCCTGTTGGGGACTAGACCAAATCTGTTTACCCTGATAAAAGCAAAAAAAAAAGAAAAATGAAAATTCATTCTATTTGATAAGTATATTTTTTTTTAAAAACCACCTTCCTGTTAGAGCAATTATTATTGCAAGTGTATGTACCATGCATTCTTTTCAATCTGAAATATTTTTCCATGAAAAGATATATAGTTTCTGTTTCCATACAGAAAGTTTGGTGAAAAAACTATATTTTTACAATTAAAATAACGTTAGGGAGGGCAAATCTCAACCTCCAAATAACGTTGCTTTTATCTTGTTGAAACTTGTTCGCTTTATTTATTTCTCTATTAGATCATGATAATGAGTCAGACTTTTCCATTGTATTTCAAAGTCCTGAGCTGTGGCCAAAAATTCCTAAAAGAATTTAGTTCATTTCACATAAAATAACAACTTCCTTTGGATCACAGTTGTGATGTCTGTGCCCCCCAAAAACATTAAATCTGAGAATTTAAAAATGGCATTGTTGTGAAAACAGTCTTGGGGGGGGGAGTGTCTAAATATACAGATTTATAATACTTTATTTCCTTTCATGTGATTTGTTCTTGTTGTCTGCATCAGGTATGTCTTCATCAGTTATTTCTCATGTATTGCATTCTTGAAGAAAAAGCAGATTGTTTATATAGCTCACATTGCATCTTCAAAATAACATTCCACTTTGAGAGCTTTATTGGAATGTTATTTAATGCTGTTTCTTGAATGTGTTGAATAGAGTGGGTCAACTTTCTCCTACTTGCATCTGAACACTATTATATAACTTATCCTTTCTCCCGGATCTTCCGAGTCCTTTCTACCTCTTCATTTGGATCAAACAATTCCCTTAACAATAAAATTTCAATTTAGGGGAAAAAATGAAGGTCACGTGGTGGCACGTCTGGACTGTATGATGTATGGGTAAGACAGTGAGGTCCAACTTTGCTGGATGGCTGACGAGGTGTCAGTTTTAATAGTCCAACAAAAATTATTTAATGTTTCTGGATTCTGCTTAACGGTTTCAAAGTTTCGAATGTTACAGCATAGCATTGAATTGATAGTGGTGCCAGGTTCCAGGAAAACCATGTGAATAACACTATCCAAGTCCTCAAAAGTTGTAACCATGAGTTTTCCTGCCAAAGGCAGAGTTTTGACTTTAAAAAAAAAGCAAGTGAAATTTAGTGATATTTCCTGGACGGGTGTGTCATTTCTAGGACACAATGATCCTGAGTGTCATCAACTGTCACAATGCTCCAAAGAAAGTCATCTTTATTCTCACAGCATGACAACATTGTTGGCAAAGTTCAACTCTTGACATTTTCATCTCTTACATCAACATATAAAGGATGCATCTTGCACAAACCTTGCAATGTGGAAGAGCAGCAACAATATGACCTATGAAAAGCTTGACATAAACTTCCCTTTGATCTGCTGATTGTTCATCAACCACTGCTATCAGCCTTTCTTATTAGAAACTCATCAGTTGTCACAGATCATTTGCCTTGTTCTTAATAGCAAAATTCAGTTTTGCCTCATTCACTATTTTTAGATTTTTGACCCGGCAAAGCATAATGCTCATTTTACCACCAAATCTATATTCAGGGTGAAATTCAATTCAAGGGGTTCCTTTGGCAATCAAACAATTGTGTATATCATTTAAATGCATTGATGAGTACTCAATGTAGAATTCTGTTGCATGAACACTACTAACAGAACCTTTAATCACAATAACTTCCTACCAACTGAAATAAAAGATTTATAGGTAGTTTTTAAATAAATCTGCAGTCATTAAGTGAAGTTTTTAAATAAATCTGCAGTCATTAAGTGAATCTGGATTCCCCCATTGACTTTGTTTTTCATAAGCTAGCTGAGAACATTGAAGATGGTGATCACATGGGGTTTTTTGTCTATAGAAGTTAAGGAACTGAACAGTATGCATACTACAAATACAAAAATGTTTCCTTTTATTCTAGAATATTCTTATAAGCTATAAAACAATTGTAAATGCCATCTCTTCTGAGATCTCTGAGATTCTGCCCAAGAGAATCCATTTCTACAAGAACCATCTTCTGGTCCACCCAGCCCAATATTTTTTTCTTTTAGGCTTGTTTACTATGATTGATGTAACTTTACCTTTTTTTTCATAGCACTGATCATTTTCATCTCACCATATAAAACTGAATAAAGTGTCTTATATTTTCTTTCCTTCTATCTTTTTTTGTTTATCTTTAGAAGCTGGTTTGCTTCCAAAGCAGAGGTGGGGAAAATGGGCCGAATTCACTATTCACATTATTCTAGATTATGGGGCCAGGAGATGGAACTATAAAAATCATTTCTGTATTTGCTTTTTGACCTTTCAATCATCAAAAAGGAAGCACATTAGGGGTCAGGGGTAGACACCAGATGAGCCACCCCTGAAAGATAGGTGGTAGCAACAGGAAATTATTGAGCCACTACCCCAAAACAGGAAGTGGGAGAAGGATGTGAGGATGCAGAGCTCTCCTGGAAAAGGTTTCAGACCTCCAACTTTCAAACAAAAGGCTCAATAATATGTATGGATGTTTTTTTTAAAGTTTTTATGTACAGCATTTTTTAAAGTCTTTATGTATTTATTCAATTTGATACCACCTGACTCCAAATGACTTTGTCAGCTCACAATACACAAAAACAATACTGAATAAAAACAGTACAATAAAGATAATCAACCACAATCAGACACAGACAAAGAAAAAGATAAAACATCCCAACATCAACTAACATCCAACAAAGGGGTCAACAGCTACTCTAGCCCAAGGCCTGGTAAAGAGCCAGGTCTTTATGGCTCTTCTCTGCAAGTCTTTGAAATGATTTACTCCATGTGCTTCTTTTTCTTACCTCTTGGACATTCCATGCCTTGACTGTGCCATCAGAAGATACAGAACATATAGTGGAATTTACTTTTCCTGTTGCAAACATATGTTGATTCTCAGATAGATAAGCCATTTCATGTATCACTCCTGCAGCAACACAACAGATCTTTGTTTAAATGCAAAGTATTTGGGGGCTTGATTATCTTCTAGTTCAATGGCTCCAGAAGAACAAACAGTTTCCTTCTGAAAACTAAACTATCAATCCCATAAATTTACAGTCAACTATAAGCATTAGCAGTTGGATCAGCTCTACAATTTTGGATCACATATGAGTAGAAAATTTTGGATCACAAACTTAGAGAACGTTTGCAATTTAGCTGTTGGAATGGTCTGCAATGGTGGAATTGCAATGGCGGAATTGCATCCACCAATGCAATTAATTTTTCTTCCTTCACTCACTCAACTTCCCAAATAGAAAATTGATCCCAAGCCCTGCTAGGTCATTCCAGCCAGGGTAGAAGGCATTTGGGGGGATGATTTCATTAGGCTTTTTGAGCCAACAAATGTTTGCATTCAGAGACCATGATAGCAATGGAGGAGCTGAATTAGACCCATTTTGAGAAACTATACAGGTTTCTACACTTGTATGAATGTATGAGGATAGATGCACACGGATAGATGGATATGGATTCAACAATTTTCCAGAAAACTGATTTAAAATTCCATGGATGCCCCAAATCTAGGATTGGCAAGCTACTGATTGGGAAAATATTTGATAACTGTAGTATATATACCAGATACATTTTTTCAGACTATGAAAAAAATTTATAGGACCCTGTGCTCTTCCATTACTGCAAAAATGTACGTTCTCATTTTTCTGAATACAAATCATATACATAACTACAGTATAATGCAAGTTGATAATTAGAAATGATTTCAATATATTTTTCTTGTAAAATATTACTTTGGTGGTGTACCACATTTCTCATACCATTGTGTCCTCTTATAGCTTTACATGTATAATCAACAGAACCCTGTCCTGATGTCATCTTAGATTCAAGATTTGAGCGATGAAGATAGTACTTTTTCCAAGAGTGGATTCCTGGGATCACAGAGATATTGCAGAAAGCCCACCTTTTTAGACACATATTTCTATAAATATAAAAATTGCACTATTACTGTGAAATTTAAATTGCTTTCTCCAAGTCTGCTTTAGTAAATAGCAATTCTAATTTTTTAACAATTATCTTCTGTAAATATGATTGCTTAGATTAAAAAGAATGTTGGAAGGTTTATTTTAATGTCATTTCTCAATACTTCAAATCTCAATTAGTAATAAGAACATTAAAATACTGTAAACATTAAGAACAATGAAGTATCATGAGCCTAATAGTTACTAATTATAGAGCAATCACCTACATTTCTTAATCAGTGGAATATACAAATATGCAACTATTTACACTAGGCACATGTGATTATTTAAACATTTAATATTCTTCTGAAGCTTTAAAATAAGGCTGATGCACAACAATAAAATGTTAATGACACATTTAAGGAAATAAAAATAGCAAATATAAGCTGATTCAGGAACTAAAATAAAATTGACATTTCTGATAAAATGAGTATTTCTTTGAACAAGACAGTCTTTATCAAATGCTGAAATGCTGTTAAACAGAAGACCAAGGTGGCCTTTTTCTTTTTGGCGTCATCTGTATCTGTTAAATGGAAGGCTTCTCAAATGGTGGTCCTGTATTTGTATTATATGAAATATAATTATCTCCTTGATGCAACTGGTGCAGCTTCCCTATCTAGACGTCACCATGGAATTCCCAGGCAGTGAAAGACCAATCAGGCCTGCCTAGTCTCAGCAGGTGGCAGCACCTGGCTAGCCTTTCTTATAAAAGAGAACATTTAAGGCTTAGTAAGCAAAAAGATATGATTATACTACTTCCATGGCATTTACCAGGTACAGCTATTAACTGACTTTTAAGAGTTCATAGAGATTTTCTCAGACTGGAAGCCTAGCTAGTCTAGCATTTTGTAGATGACAGAAACCAACTGAGCACTTCTCTTGAGCCTGCAGATCTGAGCAATAAAAATCCAGGCAAGTATAAGATAGCCTTTTTGCTGGTCTGAACTTTTGCAGCTGAGATCTAGTGACCCTACCTCAAGGAAACCCACAAACAGGATGTGGCAAAAAATAACAATTTACCCTTCCACCTAACAACCAGGAATAAATTGTTGGGAAGAAGTGTATCCAGCAATCTGTATCCACTAACATCCATTCTTGGGGTGAAATCCAGACCTCCCTATCATTTCTTGTGCTGCTCTCACCTCCAGAGAAAGGTGGTCTCTGCTGCTTCGTTCCATGCCTAAAATGGGATGGAAAAGAATGGCAGGTTTCAGAAGCAACTTCTTAAGATTCACTGGACCAAAAGATAGAATTCACAGCTTACACCAACTATGATTTTCAGGGGTGGGCTGCTGAGGGTTTGCAGGAGTTCGGGAGAACCTCTAGCTAAGATTCTGTGCAGTTCAGAGAAACCCCAAATTCCACTCCTGGCTGGCCACACCCACCTCTCCCCTTCCAGGAGTCCCCACGCAGCCTGTTTTGGATGCAGGTAAGTGCAGGGCGCACATGGAGGATGAAAAACACGCCTACCAGAAGTTTGGGAAATGGCCTCGTTTCCAGCCTCCAGGACTTCCAGAGACTGGAGAGGCTATTTTTGCTCTCCTGAAGGCTCGAGGAAAGCCTCCAGAGCCTGGGGAAGGCAAAAACGCCCACTCCTTTCCTGCTGTTGTGCAGGAGCCTGACTAGGCCACATCCACCCAACAACTGTGCAGAGAACCCCTTGCTAAATTTTTTGAAGCCCATCTCTGATTTTATTTAACCTGATATAGTAAGCCATAATGACATGGCTCATGCTTAATATTGAACTACAATTCATGGAATGCCTACTAAGTATAATAGCTGAACCAACCACAATGCTTGGGTTCATGCCACACACTGAACTCCAAACATGCCTAACATACTGTGCCAACCTAGCCCTTCTGGTTAGTTGATACCAGTAGTTGCGTGACCTGTAAACCCAAATGGCATTGGATAAATCATGGTTTAGTGTGTCATTAGCTATGGCTTAGTAAAAATTTAGGAACTCAACCAGTGCTTGAGAAATTGCAAGATAACCTCATACTGTGTTTACTCAAGGATCCAAGCCCATTTTACTCAATATGCACCTAATAAAATAGAATAGAATTTTTTATTGGCCAAGTGTGATTAGACACAGGAGGAATTGAATGCATAAGCTCTTAACGTACATACAATAGTGATAGATCATTAACATCGTCCTTGAAAAATACATTCATCATAAAACATTAAATATAACAATTCCCAGGAAGATGCTATTTTAGGGAGAAACAAGAAAATCTTTATTGAATTTCACCCTTAAAGAGTCCTACAAGTGGCATAAACTCAAGGTGGTAAAACTATTCCTGACATCAGGTGAAGTGGGGCCAAATGCTTTATTGCCTATGTAAAGCTCCGAAGCCCTCAAGATAAGAAAATATAGAGGACAAACGTGCGTCCAAAATGAGAAGTACAGCCCAAGGCGGAAGCACCCCAACTGGATCCAGCATGTAACCCACTAAAAATAAGATATGCAGTGACGGCCAGCGGAGTTCCCTAGAAAGGGCGAGACTTCCGGCTCCTTTCTCCCTCTCTTCTGCAGCGATGGGTTGGGCGTGTCGCGACGGCGCTCTTAAAGGCTTTTCCGGTGTTGAGAAGATCGCGGTTTCTCCCCTCTATTAAAACTATTCGAAATTCCCTTTCATTTTCCTTTGAAAATTTTAATGCCCGTTTGGGACGTTTTCCCTCCCGCCTTGAAAAGGCAACAGCAGTCTTGTTGGCAAATGAACGGATTGTACGAAGGGAAGGATCGAAGTTAGCGTGATCTATACTAGCAACCTGATCCGTGCATTGCAAACCTCGCGCCCAATAGCCAAGAGTGGATTTAGACAGCTATAAAAGCAGGTTGGGAAAACTGGTATTATATTGTGCACCGCGGTTTATCAGCCAAGTACGCACTATGCTGCGGGTTCTGCACTAGGGAACGGGTGTACCTTATTCACTTGAGCTGCTCTGAGCAGATCCGGCACTTCCAAGTACGAGAAGAGATGGATTGTACAATCCAAAGTCAGCGACTCGGCGCTCATCGTGCTTTCAGGCGTCCTCACAATCAACCTACGGAAACGTTTCTTTTTTCTCCACGCCCCAGCCGAAGGCAGCGCTGGAGCACTTCGTCGAGGCGGGATTAGAGTTTCGGATTTCCCCGTGACTTCTTTTTGAGCTGCCCGTCAAGAATTAGAGCGGGAGACTTAAAATATTGTGTGCACCGAGGGGATGCTGAGGAGCACTGATATGCTCAGTTACTGTATATAATCATTTAATAATTCTTTTCAGGGAATGGATCACTTTTACAGGAACATATTTCTAATACCCAAATAAACATCAAGTGCATTTATTGTAATAATAAACCATCATTATCCTGGAACTCTCCAAACATTTGGAAACTCCCACAATTTCAAACAATGGGGCCAGGGAAAATGCAACTGCAATGCATCTAGAACTTACACAGATTGAAGAATGCTACAGTATCATCTTTCTTAGTAATGTTTGTTAAAAAAAATGATGGATCATATTTCTTTATTGAAAATATATAGTTTATCAAGTTTTTCTTAACTGAAAGTCAATCCCACAGCAAACTGGCTAAGGGGAGAGGAAAAGAGACTTTAGCTGTGCTTTTGAACATAACAATGAGACGATGGTTCACACAGTGGGCTAACCCAGAGTTTAATTATGATTTTATTATAATTTGCTGGGATCAAGCAATATGCGAGGCATAATGTATACAAGTTTTGAAACTCTTTGGCTCTTCAACTCTGATGTACAGTACCGCTCATCCATCATCACCCAACACTAGAATAGAATTCTTTATTGGCCAAGTGTGATTGGACACACAAGGGATGTGTCTTTGGTGCATAGGCTCTCAGTGTACCTAAAAAGACAAAATACATTCATCAAGAATCATAAGGTACAGCACTTAATGATAGTCATAGGGTACAAATAAGCAATCAGGAAACAATCACTATGAATAGAAATTGTAAGGATACAAGCAACAAAATTACAGTCCTGCAGTTATAAGTGGGAGGATATGGGTGATAGGAAGGATGAGAAGACTAATAGTAATAGTAATGCAGCCTTAGTGAATAGTTTGACAGTGGTGAGGGAATTATTTGTTTGGCAGAGTGATGGCGTTTGAGAAAAAAATGTTCTTGTGTCTAGTTGTCTTGGTGTGCAGTGCTCTATAGTGTCGTTTTGAGGGTAGGAGTTGAAACTATTTATGTCCAGGATGTGAGGGGTCTGTAAATATTTTCACAGCCCTTTTTGACTTGTGCAGTGTATAGGTACCTTAGCTTTCATTTGTTTCCAGTTTAAACCAATGTAAACTTTATTGTATTTTGTATCATAAGTAGATGGGTGAGATCATGTCACTAGACTAGCTTTAATCAGTCATTGCCACATTCCAGCTCCTATTTTCATGAGAAACAATAGTTTATAATATGTATGATTGCTATTCATCAGTCAGTCTGCATGTTTTTAATATATTCTCCCAGTCACTACTAATAAGGACAACTTATTTTGCTAGATGGCAGAGCAGCTCCATAAATTAAGATAGCACATAATTATTATAAAAACAAACATAAGCCCCATAACTAAAATAAAATAAATTGATATAATAAACATTGAGTGACACTTTGCAATGTTTCCTAACCTGGGCAACATTGAGATGCAACTTCAGTTCCCAGAATTCTTACCAATGGCCATGCTGGCTGGGGAATTCTGGCACTTGAAGTCCATAGATTTTAAAGCCGCTGAGATTGAGAAACAATGCTCTACAGCAGGACTGGCTGTGAGGAATAGATCTTGCTTTTGCTTCTCTGGCGAGAGCAAATCCCCACCCTGTCCAAGCTCTTTTTAGACCGACGCTTACAAATTCTTGCAAACGTTCATACCCACCCAGGCTCTTCGCTCAGGTAGCCTATCGTGCAAGAAGCTGTATCTACCTGTTTGTCGTACTGCTGCAACTTTTGCAATAGGCAGGAGGATGCATCCGGTGTCCCCCCCCCCATCTCCCAGCCACTATGTAAATATTCTGAACAGAAGTTGGTGTTTTTCAAAGAGATCGGCTTTATCGTCATTCACACAACCCGACCTCATCGCAGGGGAGAATTGGAAGCATCAACCCTTAAAAACAAAGCACGAGAGTCCTGAATACTGTCAGAGAATCAAAAGTATTGTTGCAGATTCCGAGGTGCGTGCCTTCGAAATAATGCTATACGGCTCCTTCCTTGGGCAGCGGGTTGGACTAGCTGACCTTCAAGATCTCTTCCAGCCCTATGAATCTGCGTTCTGTGCTTTCTCACAGCCGGTAACGGGGACACAGATGGGAAGCGGAAGTGCTTTTTACAGAACCAGGCCGACCACTAGCCCACAATTCCTCCCCTTCCGTCGAGCTTCCTCGTAGGGCGATCCTGATTTTTCCCGGTTCCCTTCTCCTCGTGGCTCGTTTGTAAAACGTGCAGGCACTCTGGGAAATGTAGTTTGCGTTAAGTTAGAGCTAGAGAGGCTGCGCCCGGCTAAATTTCTGCTCTGATCTATGTTTAGAAAGTAACGGGCGTAACCTCCAAAGGAAACCACGCCCTCATCCTTAGCAACAAGGCGTGGACAGAAAAGAGGCATCTGCTGAGAGATTGCTTGTTGATTTACAATAGCTTCATTAGTTACCTTTCTTAGTGACTTAATACGAGTTTTCTTTTCTTTTACTGTTGGTGAGAAATATGGGGAGGGCCCTGTTGGCTGTGTTTGCAGGACGCTCTGAAGCACGACAACCACACACAGATTTTCTCAATGATGATCTGTCCCCTAAGCTGGCCTTTCAGGTCTCCTACTGGTGCATTCATCACCGCTGTAACTGTGTCCATCCTCTTAACTGCTGGAGGTCCTCTTTTCTTTCCTTCCACCTTTTCCAGCACTGGAGCCTTCTCCAGAGAACCAGGGCTTTACATAATGTGTTCAAAATAGGATAATTTGAGCCTGGTCATATGTGCTTCAGGTGAGAAGTCTGAATTTATTCGTTCAGTAATGCATTGATTTGTTTTCTTGGTATTCTCGGGAATAGTTAATGTGCAGTTTAGGGCATTTTGCAAGCTTGTGAGATTCTCTGCGTGAACAGAGCCTAGGAAGGGGAGTTTTAATGTGTAACAACACTGGGATATGTTGATTGGAGAAAGTGTGATTAGCCTTAAGTCACCCTGTGGGTTTCCACAGCAGTAGGTGCACTTGTTCCTGGACCTTTCCACTTCTTAGCCAAGGCCTGAATCACTCCATTACAATTTTCTAAGAGGTGTGTTTGTTTATTTCTAATGCAGATTTGTAAGGCCACCTAATTCATCATAGACAATGGATGGCATATAATTAAACACCAGTGAAAAACCTAAAAAACAAACACAATAAACCTAAAAAATAAAATTATATGTAACCGGGAAAACCACATACCACATGCATAGAGAACCTTGTTCCATTCAGTTATAGATCTTTATTGCCCAGATTGACTAAATTTTGAATCCAAGGCAAATGAGGTTAGAAAGGTAGAAATACTATATTGAATACAGAACACAGAGTTGGAAGAAACTTTGGAGGTCATTTAATCCAACCCCCCCTGCCCAAGCAGAAGAATGGCTGCCCGATTTCATCTTTAAAAACTCCGGTGTTGAAACACCCATAATTTCCGAAAGAAAACTCTTCCACTGATTAATTGTTCTCACTGTCAGGAAATTTCTCCTTAGTTCTAGGTTGGATCTCTGATAAGTTTCCATCCGTTACTTCATGTATTGCCCTTAAGTGCTTTGGGGAATAGGTTGACCCCCTTCTCTTTGTGACAGCCTCTCAAACATTGGAAGACTGCTATCCTAGTCTTCATTAAACTAGACATACCCAGTTTCTGAAACCATGTTTTAGCCCCCAGGCCAGCAGGTTCTGACCAGTTCTGGAGAACCAGTAGCAGAAATTTTGAGTAGTTTGGAGAACCGGTAAATACCACCTCTGACTGGCCCCACCTCCATCTTTTCTCTGCCTCCTGAGTCCCAGCTGATTCAGGAGGGAATGCGGATTTTGCAGTATCCTTCCACTGCTATGCCCACCAAGCCATGCCATGCCCACAGAACTGGTAGTAAAAAAAATTGAATCCCACCTCTTCCCTAGGCCCCCTGAAACCTTTTACAAATAGCATGATAGACAATATAGAATACTCAGAAACCAACTCCACTAGAAAGTTAAACGTGATAGGTAATAGACCACTTGTCCAATGGGAATGTACCAGATCCAGATGAAGTGGATCTGTTCCAGGAGAAGAAACGTTTTAACTGGTAACAGATTTATATGAACACTGGAACCAATGTGAGTTGTCTAAACTCTACAAAAATTCTCCCCCCCCTCACAAACAATTTCCCACACACATTTCCCCTCACACCCACACAAACAAACCAAAGAAATCAGATGCATGAGAACTGCACATTACTGATCTTTCTCACATGGCTTCTCTAGATCAGTCAGCCAGTACTTTCCACAAACGCAGAAAAGGGAGAAAATAGGATCGAGGGCTGTTTTTACTTATCTTATTTCTAAGAAGTGTATTTCTTAGAGTCCGGTTAATTAATAGCTGTAGTTATTAACTGTAATAGGTCATAATTCATAATAAAGACAATACTACAAATAATAATGTTACTTTTTGCTTCATCTAAATAAGATTATACATTTCAAATTAATGGATTTTGGAGGGAAAGCAGGATGGAAATATATATTTGTGCCTTCAGGTCAGCATTGATAGCTGGTGACTGCCTGGACAAGTTACCACATTTTTCTCAGCAGCATTTTCAGAAATGATTTGCTATTGCTTTCTACCTAAGGCTGAGAAGAAGTGATGGGCTCAAACTGGCTTCGTGCCTACGGTAGGACTAGAACCCATGGTCCCTCAGTTCCTAGTCTGATGCCTTCCCCACTATATCAAACTGGCTCTCAAGGGTGGAAAATAATGTGTCAATGTCTTCTTATAAACACTGATGTGACTTCTTCATGTGCCAGCTGAGAAAATTGCCCTAATGGCCACCTTCAACAAAGATCATAGTGAATCAAAATGGATTTTAGTGTTACTAAATGTTTAAAATTAACTGCC